TCCAGGGCTCGACGTTGACGTCCGGTTCATACTGTTCATAATCAGTAGCTTCTTTTCGTAGGTGGTCGTACTTAAAACTGAGCTTACTGCGTCCATCATAAAACCTCTGGTTCCCCAGATCATTGTACTCGGTGATAAGTGCCGGGTAATCACTTCCCTCGATCTATAAATACAATAGCTCATATTATATCAGTACTAAAAAATTAATTTTTTTTCACCACTCTATTTTATTTAAAAGCTAACTTTATTAATCACAACTTTGAACATCCAGCTATTCACTTGTTTATTAAATAAAAGTAAAATAATTCTCTCAGAATAATAATTAAAAATAGGTTATCAAGCCGTGCAATTGTATGACTCATTACCGATGATGAGTAATCACCAATATTTATCAATTAACAATCTAACGAATAAACAAAATATAAAATAAATTATCTAGATAAATAATTAAATAAAAAATAACAATTTTTAATCTCGAGAGATAATAATCATAACCATATATGTATTTCTCTGCTCCAATTACAGTCTCAACGTCATTGCCACTTGAAAAAATTAATAATTAGTATAAAATGTATCAGATGATTAAAAAAAATCAACAAAAATAATTTAGGTAAAAGTGAAAAAATAAATAAAATTAAAGTGAGTGAAATTAAAGCGAAAATAAATAGTGATAATTTTAAAAAATATAGTTACGATTGGAGATGTACCTTAACAGGCGTAAGCTGGTCCTTATTGTATTGAGCAAATGCCCCCGACGCACCCTCTTTTAACAAATTGTCATTATTGAGTAATACTCTGACGTCGTTAAAAACCTCGTTAAATTCACCTGGGGGTGAATGCAAAATAAAATCAGATACTATTCTAACTTTTTCTTGATCTGAAATCGCGACAAACTCATCATCCGCCATCTTACTCACTGTACTACATGTATATCGTCTGTCGTGTATTGGTGTCGACTCAAAGAGCATACGGGTTCGTACGGTCGGCTGTGTGTGTGTGTGTGTGTGTAAAAGACTCGACAAACGCGCTCGGAGAGTGATGTGTCAAAAGCGAGAAAGTTGAGACAACCGCGCAAGGTAGCGGTAGTTGTTCGTGGACCCGCAGTTCCTCGGCGAGCCACCGACACTGTTTCCTATTTTGGTATACAAGGTGTCTCAATTCAAATTTTATTGAAATTTCTTCACATTGCGCGCGCAACTAAACTGTCATCACCAATTTTTATGAAAATTTATTTACCAGATATTTTAAGAGTTTTTGTTACATGAAAATTGAATTAGCCGACATCTAAAAATTTTTAGAATTTTTTTTTATTGAAAAATAATTTTTAAAAAATTAAAACAAAAATTTTCACATGTAGAAAATTTTAAAAATTATCCGTGGAATTTTTTAAAAATAGTTTTTTAGTTATAATTTTTAATTTAAAAAAAAATCTTAAATTTTTTAGTGTCGGCTAACTTAATTTTCATTTTTGTAACAATTTAATTGTGGATGACATTAAAGTTAGTAATCACTTAACAATTTTTTAATTATATTTATCAAAAAAAATTTGCTCCAAAAAAATTAACATTTAATAATTTTAAGAATTTTTTTAATAAATAAATTACTGGATAAAAAAATAAGATAAAACATTGACCTTTAGAAAATTTAATAAATTAAAAATGCAATTTTTTAATAAAAATTTTTCGGAACA